TTTTTTTTATTTTTGCTGTGATTGGAAATAGCACTGAACAAAATCTAGTAAAATTAAGTTATTTTTCTTTCTACTAAAATTAAGTTATTTTTTTCTCCTGAAGATACTTGATATAGTATTTATTAGATTTTTTTGTTTTTGTTTTTGAAGTGGAATTATTACTGTTAATCTATTTCAAAACTAGTTAATTTACACTTTAAATTTTATAACAGTGGGTTTTGCATGTTGAGCAACATGTAAAGAGTTTAATGTAGAGTCAGCATTACTGAAGCTGGTAATCTTAATTTTGCATTTTTGTGACACTTTTGTTTGCATTTCAGTCTTCAATTACTATTTGTTTTTATTTTTTTTTAGAATATCATAAAATAGGATGTGCCATAAGAACATCAGTAGCGTATGGAGCAGGGAAAAGTTGAAACAAGTTTTCRTCTGATCTTAGTATAGAAATAATTCATTTAACTGATGCTATGAGCATGCTCTGTGCTGCAGTGAATATGGGGCAAAAGTTGGTTTTTTTGGTTTTTTTTTTTTAATAAGGAAAAAAAAGACTTTCTCATTTTTGATGATATCATGAACACGCTGTTCGCATAGCCTGGTATTTGTGTTCCCACTCCTCATAGCTTGAATTTCTAAAGTAAAGAAATGTTTGCACTTATTTTTGTTCTTAAGGTGACTTTTTTTTTGCTATTTCTCTGTGTGTCTCTTATTTTTAAGTTGCAATAGCTCGGAGCATGTTTTCAAAATGGTTCATGGCTCTGCGGAGAAGTACTAAAACATGGCACACACAACGCTCGTCTCTTCATAAACTATTTCTCTGTGGGGCAGTTGCTGTCTCCATAGGGAACAGTCCTGCTCTGCATTTTAAACACTGGATTTGTCTTCTACTACAAACAAATACTGTGAAGTTAATGTAAAAAAAAAAATCATTGATATTTTTAATTGTTTTTAATCTTGGTGCAGTTCAGATTAAATATGTATATTTAAAGACACTAATTTTTGTGGGAGAGTTTTATAGTATACAGTATGTAGAAAAGCTATTGGAATGGAATATATTTTATAAAAATGTTCTATCACTGTTTTATAGTGAACTATTTTTCCTTCAGTGTTAGTGTAATACTGTTAGTCTAGATATGACAATCGCAGGAAGAGTGATTCAGGCTACTGTTAGCGCTTAGTTTTGTGTGGAGTTCTGTTTGCAACTGTATCGGTATGTGCTGTACAATGTGACAATCGTGACTAGGATTGTTGTCTTTATAAATTTACATGAAATAAAACGTGCTAGAATTGTAAGCTTGAGCTTCCTACCCCCTTTAGCAGAAGGGGTGTGGTGTTTGGGATTTTTTATTACTTACTGGTAATGATTATTTTAATTCTAATTATTTTATAATTTGCTGCTTAAAAGAATTATTATTGTGTACTCTTAATAGTTTTTTTCTTTTTCAGGGCCATCTGGAATTTTAGGCRTGTAAGGAGCTGTTGTGTCTCAGTCAGAGCCTGACTGAGCATTTCCTTAGTGACTGGACTGGGCTGGGCTGGGCTAGCCCAGCACCACTTCTGCATTTAAACCAGGGTTATTTGGGCTGTTTGAAGGGGCCCAGGGATCTTTGCATGCCCCGAGGTAGCCCTGGACCAGCCCTGCAGGCGGGTGCTGGTGGCCGGGTGACAAAGCTGTGAGCACAGGGGGGACAGGGTGTGCCAGGACAACCTTGGCTACCGGGCGTGAGGGGGTTCTCTGAAGCGCTGAATCTGTCCCAGCCTTGGGGAGCTGAGCTTTGACCCACTCCTGCCAACTCCTGCTTCAATCCTTGGGCTGATTTTAGCAGGAATTGGGATTGGGAGGAGGAAGGCGTGAGTTGTCCAAGCCAGTGTGCTCAGRGGAGGACAGTAACCTGGTGGGGAGGTTTGCACCTGCACCATGAGCCCCTGTGTCTCGTGTTTCTTAATTATTTGGAAGCAAAGGATCCTGGCAGAGCTGGACTGCTTGGAGATGGTGCTGGGTAAAGGATGGGCAGGTCGCAGTCAGTGCTGGTGTGGAGGCACAGTTCTCACTCCCCTCCTGCTACCACATAGCTGCTTCTTCGCGATCCTCTCAAAATAAGTGGGTATTTCTTGCCTTCAGGCGTGTGTCCTTCCTGAGAGATCCTGTGCCTCCATCCCCATCTGCGGGGAGGGCTGAAAGCTGCTGAAGATACGTGGTGATCTGCTGCAATGTGGTGAAGTGTTAGAAACTATAAATATATATATTTTTTTAGTTTTTTTTTTTTTTAAATTTTTACCACCGAGAGATGGTTGTCCCTGCAGCTGCTTATTTGTGGCATTGTGTTTCCACTCTTTCCTGCCGTTGTGGATGTATGGAAGAACATTCGAAGGTGTTTTATCTCACCCCKGCCCCTCAAATTAAATAAATTCACCCAAATCTGAATGTGGTKCTGYGGAAGGAGGAGGCAAAAGGCTTTTYTTTGAGGGAGAGGGTGCTCAGAAAGAAGCAAGCTTGAAGCTAAACCTGGGAGGTGGATGGCTTGCAAACAGGCTATAAATAACCGTGAGTAGATTGAGGAGAGCAGCCCACATCTCCTCTGGCATGGGCATGCTGTGCCCATTTTCTTTGTTGATAGCAATTGCTAATGTGAATTCTGGCACTCCAAATCCCGATGCCTGTTGTTCTGATAACATAATTAAATCTTAGGAATGTGAAATATAAAAAGCTTTGAGAAGAAACCAGGCCACTAAGCGGATACTGGGAAGGGGGGTGCAMAGGCTGTGTATGTACCAAGTAAGAAATGGGATTGCTCTAGGCAGGATTCCCTGCCTGCCAGCTCATGGCCACCTTGGGAATGATTCTGTCACCTGCAGGAAAAGGGGTGACCCCCAGGAGCATCTGCTGTCCTAATCCCATGCTGCAAGGACTGTCCTCTTCCAGGATTACAGCACCTCACRGGCTCCTTAGGTCGGCAGGGGTCAGCCTTGCCCACGCCAGCAGCTTGGACTCCTGC